CTCATCCCAGGGCTTCACGAACAGCCAGCCCTACACTAATAGAGTCAAGACAGTGCTTTGTGCGATCATATAAAGATTGTGAAATCTTGCTTTGAATTTCCATGAGGGGAAATTTCAAAACACATCTTTCTGATGCTGGAAAAATCAAGGCTGTATATTTCAAAATATACAACTTCCTGCTGGCTTTGCCCGAGGAGAGTCTACAACCTTCCTTCATGAATCACCCTCTCTCCATTCTCCCTCCCTCCAACTGTCCGTCCATCCATCCATCCATCCATCCATCCATCCATCCATCCCTCTCATCTCTCTCCAGGGAAAACTGACTGTGAACCTGCAGATCAGTCAGGGGTGGTAGAAGGAACCCTGAGGGGAAAGCAATTCTGGGTGACTTGAAGGGAGGGGCCCCACAGGCAAATGACTGGAGTGTGCAGGGCGTAGGGGGTATCACTTCCTTTGCGCCTTCACCCTCCGGCTGAGTTCTGCTCTCAGCAACACAGCTTTCCCATGGAAAGCAGAAGTGATCCTCCCTCTCCAGAGAGCCTCTCAGAGACTAGTTTCTCCATTCCCTCTGACCCGTGGGAGTTAACACTTACAGGAAGAGTAGGCACCCACTTCACCCAAACGCCATGCAGCATTATAGGACTTTGGGAACCAGAGTGAACACTGATCCATCTCTGCAGTCTCCCCGTGGACTCTCGGCACTCAAGGGTGACCCCTCCAAGTTGGTATAGCTTCCCACAAAATGTTTTACTAGCACAGAGAGAGAACTAGAGGAGGTGTGCTCAAGATTAGCTTCCAATCAGAGTGGTCTGGAGTCAGCCAAGTGGCAAGGAACACTTTAGATCTCACAGAAAGGTGGATTGGACCCAAAAGGCAATAATGGCCTTAAAGTTCAAAGCATAGAAGAGAAAATGCAACGAACTGAAAAACAGTCCAGGCTACACTTATAGGAAGGCTCCTCCTTGGTTGGTAAGGCATTGAGGAAACTGCCTCTCAAACTGCTGTGGAGCGAGCTGGGCATGGTGGGTCACACTTGTAATCCCTGCATTTAAGAGGAGGTAAGATTTCTCAGGAGTTCAAGGCCATCCTTAGCTCCTTGGAGGAATTGGAGTCAAGTCTGGAACACTTGAGATCCGGTCTTAAGAACAAAACATGTGATTGTGATTGCGGCATCTGTGTGGTTTTATAGAACACCTTTTAGGGATCACAGCCTTCTGAACAGTGACTGTGGGTACCAAAACGAGGACACGATCGGCCAACTAGCATCGCGCCAGCCACAAGGAGGAGAGTGTCTTTGTAAGATGAAGGGGTCACCCTGCAAAGGCACAACAGGTGCTGGGACACAGTGATGTCAGCAGGACTTGCGGGGACTGTGACCTCATTTTCAAGAAACAGTTTCATGGCCAATGACAAGTGCAGTGGCTCAACCTGTAGGAAGGGAGAATAGAGACACACTCTCTCTCGCTCTTTCTCTGTGTGTGTGTGTGGGGGGGGTCTTTCCTCCCTTTACCCTTTTCTCAATAAACTCCACACTCAAAAAAAAAAAAAAAAAAAAAAAAAACAGAGCAAAAAGGAAAAAAAAAAGGCCCAGGAATAAAGAACTAAGGCTACAGTGGCAAGCCATACTTGCTAGAATTTGATTTAATTTTTTAAGCTTGTTATTCAACATTTACAGAAAAGTTCCTCTAGATAACTCAAGACTAGATGAGAGACTCATCAAGACAAAGATGAGAGAAGGCTTGAGTCTCCACTCGGGGCTGCCATGCACTTTCTCACCCCTCAATTGACACCCCGTTTTCCACATATGAGTGTCTCTCCTCAAATGGGAACTTAAATGTTGGAAATGACGACAGAATTTACTCAAAATTTCGCAATCTAGGCATCAGGAAACTGGGCAGCTGTAGAAATATTTCAGTATTTCTGACTGGAAAAGAAACTTCCTCTTCCATTTCCTTCGCTCCGTTATTAGTCTTCAGAGCTAGGAAGCCATGACTACAGCAAGCTGACTGCTGGGCCGTCCACTGGCTTGCCTGCCCACTGGCTTGCCCGCAGCAGGCACTCAGAAAGCCCAGCCTGTCTCCTACATGGGTGCTATAGGCTTTCCTTCTCCATCATGAGGGATGCTCTTGTTATAACAGGTATGTAGAGATGATAGAGTCCGTGGCTCGGCGTCTCCAGCAATGACAGGGAGAAGCCTTTTGACAGTTAGTCCTTGGACAGTCCTGGCTAACTACTGTGTACCATAAGCAAGGCTGCTCCAATGACACACAGTTATTACGGATGATCCACACTGAAGAGGAGGCAGTGCTGAAAATACGGGAGATGGCTTCCTGGAGATCCACTCCTACATACCCCCTCCCCCCTTAGTCAGAAAAACTACCAAATAAGTAAAGAAAATTACTCTGCAATTCTGTCTCAGATACGTACTAAATAACATATTTATCTTAAGTAATTGACGACTGCAAAGTAGGAGTAGTCAGAAAACATACCCATAATAGCCAATAGCCAAAGACCATCTAGCCTTTCACCTCAGACAAGTCCCTGAATCTCTTTTTGTATCTGTCCGTCCCCTGCTTACGGGTAGGGAATCATGAGGGATCCAGATAAAGTCAGAAGGAGGCTTTGAAGTTACAAAAAAAAAAAAAAAAAAAAAGTATTATCTTCATTGCTATAAGCTGCTCAGAAAGGCTCTAGGCTGGTTCCAATGCCAATGCATCACCGACTAATAACCTACTGATTGTGGTGGCCCTTCAATGTTCTGTTTATTAATCTATGCATCCTAGAAATCACTGGTCCCAGTGAGATGCAACGATGTCTTATGCCCGATTTATGAAATCAGTATAGGTTCATATATGATCATACGGTTTCACTTTGCTAAATGACATCTCTATGGGACCAAACTCTAATCAGATGCTTCTGTCGTTTATTTCTGAACACAAAACCTGGAGGAACGAAGAGGTCTTCAGAGCCACTGATTTGCCAGGCTGTGTAGGACCTCTTCTGTGGCAAGGAAGCCACCAGCAGTGGAAGGGGTAGTTTTACAAAGTATCAAGACTCTAAGGTAAAGAAGGGGGACCTGCTTTGCAGAAACTGTCTGACTGCCCATCAGGACTTCCTCCAAAGACACTGAGAACAGTCCTGAGCAGGGATTTCCATTTAATGTCCTTCCACCCTTGTTACAGAAGCCAAGACAGAGGGTGAGCAGCCTACAGCAGGGTATCCAACAGACAAGCCTCCCTTCTTCCTTCCAGGCCCTCTCCACGGAGCACTCCTCAAGCACCAGGCCTTCATTTTGGACAAAAGAGATAAAGTCGTTGCCAGTCATTGTCGGGATGACCAGTCTATAAACATGGACATTTCCTAATACCTCTGCTGCCGTGAGGAAACACTGACTCAATACACGGCCCAAGTGGGTGTTCTGTGAGTTCAACCCTGGCCAGAGGTGCAGTGCCTATACCACAGCTCAGGATTCCTGGATCCTGACCTCTCTTCCTTCACACCTGCTGGCCTCTTCCCTGGCTCAGGTCACCAAAGGCTCTTGTGAGCCACATTTAAAAAACAAAAGCAAAACAAAGAAACAGGAAAAGTCCCAAATCACCCAGCACAGCTCCGAATGAGAGCCTGGATTGGCAGACTTAGGGGGAAGAAGGATTCCCCTCACTTAAGAAGGACTAGAGAAGCCCTGCACCCCTCAGGGCGCAGCCTATTTCCGTAAAAAAAAAATACTAAGGACATAACTACCCAGAGAAAACACCCTACAGCCGGCTGAGCTTCAGGAGCAAACCAGGAGTCCAGCGTCTTCCGCGCTAGGTCTTAGGTTTTAGGGCCTCTCCTTGGAATCGGAGGAACCCGTGGGACACCACAGCATTCAGGTCTTTATTAAGCAGATTTTTCGAAAATCAGATGGCTCACTCTGACTTGTGGTTTCAGGTTTAAAATCACCAAACCGCCAGGACCCAAGGACCTTCGTTTTTATAGATACCAGCTGTACCAAGTACCATTTACATAACGCGGCGTAAGTTCCAGGACTTTCAGTTTATTAAACCTATCGGGTAGGTTCATTTTGAATTATGAGGAAACCCAAACTGGGAACTTGAATAATCCGCAGACACACACAGCTGGGAGACTGCACGGCCTAGATTCCCACCTGCATTCTGAGTGGCAAGGAAGTTGAGCGGACTGGCAAAATTAGTACAAACATGGATACTCAAAGAAAGGAAGAGACAACCACAAGTGCTCAGAGGAGCGGACTGTTGGGAAGAAAATACAACCTAAACAGCACGGGGAAGCCACTACAGCCAGCTAAGATAAGGCGGGTGAGTGGGAACTGTCGCACACACCCTTCCCCCCAGCCCGAAGGAAAGGCATCCCTGAATTCTTAAAATAACTCCAGCTTCCTCTTGGCCAAGGCGTCGGACCGCTCCTCAGTCGCCAGAGAGAAGCCCGGCTCCGCGGGAGGTCGAGCTCCAGCCTCCGCCGTTGCCGCTCGACGTCACCACCTTGCCCCGAGTCACCAGGGACCTCAGCCAACAGGCAGCCTTAGAGAGAGCCGGCCTGGGGACCCAGGGTCTGGCAGGACGACTAGATACAGCATCCCAGGTGACCCCCTCCCGAATTACCGCCGCGCTCCTTCCCGAGTGCCCCGAAGCTTCCCTAGCATGGAAGAGAAGTTGGAGCGAGGCCCGCAGGTGGCCCCCGCCAGGGACCCAAGGACTCCCACCCTGTGCGCACCTCCCACCACGCCCCCGCGCCGCTCCGCTGCGGACACCTGCGGAACCGCCGCCCCCGCGTCCCCGCTCGACCGCCCGGGCGAGTCACAGTCACCCCAGGCTGGGGGCATCTGAAAGCTCTCACCACCCGGAGTGAGTGCCGGCAAGAAACGGCGCGCAACCTTTGCTGCGCCCGAATACCCGTGTCCCTAGCCAAGCAAGCGACCTGGGCTCCGGTCCCTGGCTCGGTCTACCCGACGCGCCCACCCCGCGCTCCAGCCCCTCACTCACTCGCTGGCGGTAGAAGTTTCGGGGCTGCGGAACTCCACGGTGACTTCAGTTCAAAGCTGCGTACGCGACAGGACGGCCCTCCGGGGCCCGCCTGAGAAGCAGCTGCCGGCCCGGGTAGCAGGACGCGTGGCCGGCGCTTGCGGGCACACTGCGCGGGGGGACACTGCCCGGCCTGCAGCAGGCTGCTTAGCTGCAGAGCGTCAGCCGGGGAGGCGCCCGGGCCCGGCTCGGTGGGAGAGGAACTGGCTGTCGCTGGGCTCGGCCAAGAGGTCCCAGCTACTTCCTGGTGCTCGGATTTGCATACTGTGCTGGGAGGGCGGGGAAGTGACCGTTTGGTTCCAGTCCAAGGTTTGGTATTTGGTGTGGCCGTTGCACAGGGTTTTGCAAGCAAACAGATTTTGGAGAGTAGGGGCAGCCTTGGAACCAGCATTCTTCCCTAGGAAGACCTGGGGATCCCCAGGAGTCGCGACAACTTCCACACCCCTTTTCCTTTTCTTCCAATTCAACTCCTCAACCTTGTCAGAAGTGGTGGGCGCCTGGGAGTGGGGGCAGCCCTGCGGTGTGTGGAGCCCTCCACAGAGAAAAGAGTACCATAGAGTTGATGGGGGGGGGGCGCTGTTTACCTTAATAAGCAAAACAGCAAATTCCTTAAATGTTTACGTGCTCAAGACTTTCTTTGCAGTGAGGAGTAGGGACTAACTGTGGAATTAAATGGTCTGGCAATCGCTGAAAGCCTCCGTTTCTCCAGGAAAATGGAGCTAAGGAAGACCCTTTAGCCAGAACTGCCCACTGGAGCGGGCCGTGGTAACTGTTAATGCAGTCCTACAAACGTTGTGTCCCTACCTGCACACATGCTTGGCGTACAGTGGGTGCCTAACCAGTGCTTATTGCGAGACTGCATGTTCATACAAAAGTTTCAACTTAATAAATGCCTCTTACTGAACCAAGGTACACAATTAGCCTCTGTCACTATGACGCTCACTTAGGCTAATCTGACTTCTGCTTCCTCAGATTCCCAACCCCAGAGTACCTTGTAGAATTAGCGAAGAAAAGTGTGGACACTGTAGGAGACTTTGTGTATTAATAGTTGGGTGCAGAGGGCAACCAGGCATGGCTCTAAACACTTGACTTTTTTGTATTTGCATTGTGGGTAACTGTCTCCCCAACTGCAGTCCAGTAGGTCAGAGTGGCCACCTTGTAACCAAGTCCAGTACGGCTGTCATTTGTTCCTAACGAAGGAAGCCTAACACCAGCAAGCATAATGATGCATCCGTTTTTTCAGTTGGTTTGGTCTTTGGCTTTTCAAGACAGGGTGTCTCTCTGTAGCCCTGGCTGTCCTATAACTCACTCTGTAGACCAGGGTGGCTTCAGATCCAGAGATTGGCCTGTCTCTGCCTCCCAAGTGCTAGGATTAACCTTGTGGGCCACCACCACAGGGCATATCCATTTTTTTTTTTCACTCAACCAGGGACTATATAGAAGAAGATGGTGCCAGATATTGTAACAGAGCTGAAAATCTCTACAATGTCATAGGTGTCATAGCTCTCACAGTGTGGCGGTAAAAGGCAGTTCCAGCGTTTGAGCTGATGCTGGTGCCAAGAAGCCCACTTGTATGCCTGTCACATACCAGCACAGCACATAGAGTCTGTACAGTACAGAGAACTGATCATGTTAACCGTGAGTAGGGTTTATGATTTGACACAGCATGCCTTTATTTTAAAGGCTTGCCTGTAGAGCAGTGTGCTCAAAGTTAGTCAGTAGCACCTTGTGTTGTTTACCTTGACTCCTGGTTGCATCAAGAAGGACAAAGTGAATATACCCTACAATGGCCACACAAAGACACAATCACATAAGAGCATACTTCTCAGAGTGTCCCCATCACTGTCCCTAAGCCATAGGAAACAGGTAGGCGGATGGTCATTGCTACAGTAACTTTCCTGCTGAAGAGTGGCCAGGGACTTACCATAGGAATTGCTGTACACAGGAGCTGCTATCTGTCAAATACCCTATAGAATAAGGGTTCTCAACCTGTAGATCACAACCCCTTTAGGGGTCAAACAGCCCTTCCCAGGAGTCACCTAAGGCCATCAGAAAACACAGATATTTACCTTATGATTCATAGCAGTAGCAAATTATATAACAGCAGCATCAAAAATAATAATTTTATGGTTGGGGGGTCACCACAACATGAGGAACTAACTGTATTAAAGGGTCACAGCATGAGGAAGGTTGAGAACCACTGTCTAGAATAACTCGCCACCTTCTCAGGTGTCCTGGACTTTTTTTGAATGACCTCTTTAGTACATTGGCCCTAAGTAGTAACACTCTTACACTGAGCCCTTGATGTCTTGGCTAATGGCATGTGGCAAACAAGAAAAGCATTAAAATTATTTCGCATTGCCTGCCACTGCTGCTCCTTTCCCTCTCCTGGGAATCTTCCTCCAGAGGTCTAGCTTTTGGAGCCTAACATGGACACTCTGCACAGGCTTCCTGTTGACTTTTGTGAGAAGATGCAGGGTGGATACAAAGATTCCCTTTGACTCTTGCAAGCCTGGCCAGAGACCCATGTGACCCAAGGGGCAACACCACAGAAGAACAGTGACAAGTTGCAATCGTGTTGGTGGTCACAGTATCCCCATGGCCAGACTTGCACAGGCCAATCAAATCAGTCTCTAACGATACCCAAGCTCCCCAGGTTGCTCTACTACTCAGCCACCACTGGGATCCACTGCGAGAAACTCCGCCGAATGCAGGTTGCCCATTTGTAGTGTGGCTACAATTGATGTGAAACCTTCTGGTTCACGGAAAGCATGATACAAAGATGCTACAAAGATTCCACGTGGCTGGAATGGTGCTGCAGAATTTTACATGGGAAGTGAGTGTTGGTTCATCCAGGTTCCCTGGAAGGAAGGTGACTGGTGACCCCTGTATGGTAACTAAAAGACTTTAGTGGATCTCCTACTCGACCCTCACAACCATGCCCTGGGTTTTACACTGTGTAGGAAAGAAAGGCTCAATGCGGGTAGGCAACTTGTTCCAATTCCCTCTCTAAAGTGGATGGGTTAGATTTGAACCCCGTTCTGTGTGGACGACATCAAAGCTTTCTGTTTAGTCACTTTCCCAGCCTGAGATGCCACAGAAGAAGCAAAGCCCTAAGAAGCCCCAGCCTTGCAAACCAGAAGAAGTCCAGCTCCAAACCATGTTAGTCTGACGTTACGAAGGAACAGACAAACTGCCTAAACATTACGTTATTAAAACTGAGCCACATGGTAATGGTTATGACACCAATAACATAATTATAGTTTGGATCTTATTAAAGTTAATCTGTCATGATGACACACAGAAATGTACTGCATGGTAACTAGACCAAAACAGTGAACTACATATTAAAAATTGCTTCATGCAGGCAGATTAGAGGTTTCCGAGGTCTACCCAGCACTGTCTGGAAGGTAAGAGGATGAATCAATGCGACCAAGTTTCTGTTCCTTCTGAGGGAGGGCGGCTCCAGTGGCCTTCCCAATTTTCCTTCCCTCAGATCTTCAGCGTGGGTGCCCCCCTCTCCTCTCCTATCAAGCTGGCTCCACAACCTTGGTATCTGCCCTGTTCTCGGTTCAAATTTGATAAATGCCAAACCTAGTGTCTATGTAGCCTTGTAATCTCTAGAAACACTTTTAGTTTTTATGTAGAAACTGTTTCAGAATCACAGGAAAGCATCTAAGGGAGCACAAAGAATCACTGTATGTTCTTGATCTAATTCTCCTGCTATTAACATTTAGCCAAACTCCATTAACTAGCACTCTCCTTCCTCATACCCCTCTTCCATCAATCAATCTCTCTGCCTATAATTTTATTTATTTATTTATTTATTTATTTATTTATTTATTTATTTATTTATTTTTGAGACAGGGTTTCTCTATAGCTTTGGAACCTGTCCTGGAACTCACTCTGTAGACCAGGCTGGCCTCAAACTCACAGAGATCTATCTGCCAGTCTCTGCCTCCCAAGTGCTGGGATTAAAAGTGTGCACCACCACCACCCATCAATCTCTCTGCATATAAATTGTCTGAACTGTTATCTGACAACTACAGGAATAATAATCCTTAGCCCTCTAACTATTTCATCAAATGTTGTCAGTTAAATAAAGTAGAAGGGGTTTTGAAACATAAATGACAACAATTAAGGAGAAGACACACAAAAAAAAAAATCACCCAGTTTTCCGCGCAGTTTCCCAACGTAGTTTAATCAGAGGGCTCTCAGCACTGTGAAAATAGCTGGATGAAGCAGAAGTCATGCAGGAAGCTGGCACTGGGAGGAGCCTGGTGCTCTCTGGAGGCAGACAGAGGAGCCAGAGTTCAGCTCTGATTAGGGAGAAGTTACTGAAAGACGCTTCCCTTGAGAGAAAACATGGCCACCTCCAGAAGCAACCCTGATAGCACAGATTTTGATCTTAAAACATGAAGAGATGCTTGATTCCTTCTGGAAGATGTCGCTCCAATAATTGTCACCTTAAAAGGTCAAAGGACAGATGAGTCTGTCAACACACAGGCGTCGAGAAAAGACTCCGTGGGTAAAGAAGATGACAACCCATCCTCAGGCAGGACCAGGAGTACTGCATAAGTGCACAGGGTCACAGATGCAAGAAAGGAGTAGCCAGTCACTGAGCACTGAGCTATGGCGCTCTTTCCCCCTCCTCTTCATCTGCCCCCTCTTCTTCCTCCCCCTCTTTCTTTTCCCTTTCTTTACTTCTTCTGTTCTTCCTCCTTCATCCTGTGCCAGAGATCAATTGAGGGCCTCGTGCACATTAACCAAGCCCTTTACTACCGAGCTGCCTGCCCAGCCCTGTCTTCTAGGTTCTCCTCCTCTTCCTGGGTGGTTACGTGTAGTGTGGCATGAGCTTAGCATCTGGGTGGAGGGCTTGCCGGCCAGCTGGGTTCTGCTCTGAGGTCTGTAGGGGATGGCCTTGTATCTTGGACTCTCCTGCTATTTCCAGCACCAGGCTGGAGCCTGACCTATCACAAGCCTCTGGGCTGCTGTCCTGTTTTAGTTCTAAGAACACAGCTGTCTCCACTCTATTCATTTTCCTTCTCTCTTCTTTCTCACTTTATATTCCAGAGATTCACATTGTTTTGTTTGTTTGTTTGTTTGTTTTTTTTTTTTTTTTTTTTGGTTTTTCGAGACAGGGTTTCTCTGTGGCTTTGGAGCCTGTCCTCAGAGATTCACTTTTTAAAAAACAACTTATTTAGATTCGTTTTATGTGCATTAGTGTGAAGGTGTCAGATCCCCTGGAACTGGAGTGA